ACAAAGTGAATTACAAATATGCTCCCTTCGTCGCAGAGCTCTCCGAGTTTGTCCTCCACGGCTGTGCAGTCGATCCTATTGAGCTGTCATCGGATAAGTGCGAAACCGCCCCGGAAATGGCCTCGATCCCAACCGGGATCACACCCGAGCAAAGGACTAAAATGGCGAGGTTCAGGAGGAAGAACATTCAGTACTCTTATTGCTATGATAGCGCCCGATACAAGGTCCCTTCAACCGAATGTGCCCTCGATGCTAAAGAGGCCGAGCAGCTCCGGAGATTCGACCCCGTGAGGTTTGGCGGCGTCCCCCGCCACCGTGGCAGACGACACCGCCGAGGAGGCGGGAGAAGTAGTAGGGATGGATCCTCCTCCTCCACTTGAGAAGGCTAAGGTTTCATTTATTGTGATTTAAGGTTGTTGTTCACCTACCTACCTACCTGTGAATAGTGGATACAGGAGATGAGAGGGGAGAGGGTGGTCATTTGGGAGGGCAAAAGGAATTTTGAGTGTAGTATTGATTGGTGATGAATGGGAAGGGGAGGGGGTGGGGTGGGGGTGAGATATGTGTATTTATTTTATACTTATAGTGTCATCTTAGCCATGTTCTCTCATTCATCTTGGGCTTTATATATTTATCATCATGTATTTGCTACTCTTCAATAAGTATATATATGCTCATTGTTATATCATATATTTGTGCACAATAAATGAAGAACTTTTCTCTTTAATAAACCTATACTATAGTTAGAAATTAGATTCATATTTGGTTTTCGTACTCTTTGATTACAAGAAAGTCCAGAGTTACTATTCGAAGGTGTGCTCTAGGTGAAGTTGCCTTGTAAATCTTAGTTAACAAAAAAGACTACAAGGAGCTTATCATTCTAGTTTAATGTGTTAACTAGTAATTCACCCGCGCGCTGCACGGAAAAAAATTATGTTATTATAAATATAAATAAAAAATAGAAAAACTAAAATATTTTAAATTATTTAATATAATAATATTTTTGAGCTTCCATTGGTCAAGTATTTATTATTTTTATAGAATACAAAATTACAATTAATATTAATATTAAAATTATAATTTTGTATGGTTAATATAATCTCTAATTATGTGCATATTCAAATAAACTTATAGAGAGAATTTACATAATTACATTGATTTATTCTTAATTGTATTTCATCTATATTATAATTTTCACAATACGAATAATAACTAAGATAATTACATTTGGAAAGCAAATTTCAAATTTTGTATGTGTAAATTTAAACTCTAATTGAACACATTTTTTATATGATTATATAATATATAGCTATTTTATTTTTCAAAAATATATTTTTTATATGATTATATAATATATAGCTATTCTATTTTTTAAATGTTTTGCTTTTTTTTTTTTTTATATATAATAAAGGATGTTGTGGCATTAATTGTAACATTAATTATTCCCAAACCATATAGCTTTATTATATAAAGGATGAGTTGTGTTTTTATTGGTGATGTATATAAATTTTATATATTATGAATCAAATGTTTTAAAAACTCTACATGTATTGTTAATTAGTTTTTATTTGGAGGAAAAGCATCATTATACTATGGGGTATTAGATATTGTTCAAATTGTTTTACTATTTTACCTTTGAGTGCAAGTAACATGATTCTAATTTAGAGATACTTAGTAAGAAGGACGGGAATTGAAAGAGTGTGATTGTGACAGACAAACATATTAGGTCAAGGACACCTCTTTTCTTCAAATTATAATTACAAAAGAGAATTTGACGATTGGTAGATGATCAAACCATCCGAATTTAGCATTGTTTGAATGTTACGAGTAGTTTAACCATTTTATTTTATTTTATGGTGGTTTTAAAATTATGAAAAATGACTTGTAATTTTTCTTTTTTGAATTTTTATTGTTTGACAATCAATATAAAATGAAGTCAACAAAAAATACTCGTTCCTGTCAAAAGAAAAATGACCAAATTTGGCAAAAAAATATCTTCAGAGATTTTACTCGAAAGACATTTTCTCTCTCTCTTTTTGCAAATTATATAACAATACGATGTCATTTTTGACAAAATTCCTATTTCTTTCCCTTTTCACTGTTAACGGTGTTAACCATTTATATGTTTACATACTCGGAGTTTAATGTTCATAAACTAGATAATATGTTTAAAAATAAAAAAATTAGTTTAATATTTATAAACTAGACACTATATATTCATAAACTCAAAGTTTAATGTTCATAAACACGTTCAACATGGTTTTTAAAAAATGAAATAGCACCCCACTAATCATGACAACTGGGACTAGGGTCCATAGAATAACTATCACTCTCTTTTGGAGTGGTGTCAAATCGGCGCGTTGACACACCATATATCTGATTATTATTTAAATTAGATTGGGCTAGTTCAGTTAAAATATGGATCTAATTGAGTTAGACCAAACAATACAAATCTTGACACGACTTAGCCCATGTCCAAAACAGTTAAAAAAAAGGTTCTATTTTTCTCCAGACGTTATGCCATGGAACCGTGTTCACCATTCATGGTGAACACGGTTCTAACGGTGTTAGTACACCGTTATCATCTTCTTCTTTTTTTTTTTTTTTTTTTTTAAATTAATTGCGTGACTTTTCTTCTTTATTTTCACATTTTGCGATTTCACTTTAATTTGAGGTGAATAAAGATTTCGGACATTCATAAATTATGAATTCATACCTGCACATTCACTTTGGAACCATGCCTACACATTCCCGTCCGAAATCACGGACATTCATAAATTATGAATCCATGGCTACACATTCACTTTGGAACCATGCCTACACATTCACTTTGGAACCATGAGATTATGAATTTTCTGTTATGAGATTATGAATTTCAGTTATGAGATTATGAATTTTCTGTTATGCGATTATGAATTTTCTGTTATGAGATTATGAATTTTCATTACATTCATAATTTCGGACATTCATAAATTATGAATTCATGCCTGCACATTCACTTTGGAACCATGCCTACATATTCCCGTCCGAAATCACGGACATTCATAAATTATGAATCCATGCCTGCACATTCACTTTGGAACCATGCCTACACATTCACTTTGGAACCATGAGATTATGAATTTTCTGTTATAAGATTATGAATTTTCTGTTATGAGATTATGAATTTTCAGTTGTGAGATTATGAATTTTCTGTTATGCGATTATGAATTTTCTGTTATGAGATTATGAATTTTCATAAAATTCATAATCTCATAACAGAAAATTCATAATTTGATCAAACGCGCGCCGTTAACTCCACATCCACGAAATTTTTTTTTTGGCCTAAAAACGACGTCGTTTTGCCTTGTGTTCACCATTCTCGGTGAACACGATTCCATGGCATAATTTGCGATTTTTCTCTAATTTCTTTAATTTAAAATTATTGTATTTATTAATGATTAATTAAAATATGAATTGTATTGGGCCAAACCAAACAAATAAAAATCTTAGCCCAGTCCACAAAAAACCAGACGTTATGCCATGGAACCGTGTTCACCATTCATGGTGAACACGGTTCTAACGGTGTTAGTACACCGTTATCTTTTTTTTTTTTTTTTTTTTTTTTTTTTTTTTAATTGCGTGACTTTTCTTCTTTATTTTCACATTTTGAGGTTTCACTTTAATTTGAGGTGAACAAAGATTTCGGACATTCATAAATTATGAATTCATGCCTGCACATTCACTTTGGAACCATGCCTACACATTCCCGTCCGAAATCACGGACATTCATAAATTATGAATTCATGGCTGCACATTCACTTTGGAACCATGCCTACACATTCACTTTGGAACCATGAGATTATGAATTTTCTGTTATAAGATTATGAATTTTCTGTTATGAGATTATGAATTTTCAGTTATGAGATTATGAATTTTCTATTATGCGATTATGAATTTTCTGTTATGAGATTATGAATTTTCATTACATTCATAATTTCGGACATTCATAAATTATGAATTCATGCCTGCACATCCACTTTGGAACCATGCCTACATATTCCCGTCCGAAATCACGGACATTCATAAATTATGAATCCATGCCTGCACATTCACTTTGGAACCATGAGATTGTGAATTTTCTGTTATAAGATTATGAATTTTCTGTTATGAGATTATGAATTTTCAGTTGTGAGATTATGAATTTTCTGTTATGCGATTATGAATTTTCTGTTATGAGATTATGAATTTTCATAAAATTCATAATCTCATAACAGAAAATTCATAATTTGATCAAACGACGCGCCGTTAACTCCACATCCGCGAATTTTCTTTTTTGGCCTAAAAACGACATCGTTTTGTCTTGTGTTCACCATTCTCGGTGAACACGATTCCATGGCATAATTTGCGACAAAAAACCTAAATTTTATTTTTTCAATTTCTTTAGTTCAATGTTATTACATTTGTTAATGTCTAATTAAATATGAATCACCGTTCAAAAAAAAAAAGTTAAATATAAATCAAATCGATTCGAACCAAACAATAAAAATCTTGATCTAACCCAACCTATATCCCAAAGTTTTTTGTTTCTTCAATTTATTTAGTTCAAAATTATTATACTTCGTATTTATCAATTTATTATTTATTTTTATTATAATAAATGACAAGTTAAAACATATAAAATTACATCTTTTTATTATAATTATATTGATCTTTATAACTATTATAAATTTTAATTTATAATTTTATTTTAATAATAATAATAATAATAATAATTATTATTATTATTATTATTATTATTATTATTATTATCATCATCATCATTAAAATAAATAATATTTTATTTTAAAAAATGACTTCGTACTATATTTATTTTCTTGTTTAAAAAAAATAAACTAACCAAAAAATAAATCATTTTTCAAAAATCGTTTTCTAAAAAGCATTTTCCATGTTTTCAAACAGATTAAACCTTATAAATGCGACATGATAAATTAATAATATCACACATTAAGGAGTGATGGTTAGGCAATAATTTTAGTACAATAAATAGAATTATTCATCAAGAATCAAGAGAGAATAAATATGCCACATTTTCCTTTCCAACACTATAAAGAAAAGCAGCTGAGTTTCAGTATTTGCAGATTCAGGTTTTTGGCCCTAAGAGAAAAACAGCTCACTAAGAGCTTTGTGGGCATTTAGACTATACCGCATATGAAAGTTACAATGAAAAGATGAGCAGACCCTCTCTCAGCTCTGGTGCTGGGATTCAGCTTCTTCCTTCTTCTCTACTAATTTGATGAAGTTCTTAACTATGGTTTTGCCTTCATTAGTTATGATGCTTTCAGGATGGAATTGCACCCCCTGCATATATATCATCATCGGGTTAACGAGAAAGCTGTTAGTTCAACTCAAAAGGAATACGTGATCATGATAATAATGTAGCGAAGGACATTGTTGGGAATTAAGCTATAAGATACGAAAGCATGAGAACTTGTGGACAAATCCAAACCATCGATCTAGTAGATCTAATGGTTGAAAATAAAGAAAAAAGAAATTGGATGGGGTCATTTTCATAAATATTACAAATTTCAAAAATTTGACATATTTTTGAAAATGACCCCACTCCTTTTTTACTTGATTTCCTATCCATCAGATCTCGCAGATTGATGGTTTGGATTTGTCTAAAGGTTCTCACCTGAGAAGTGGTTCTCATATGAATCAGTTTCTTGATGATTCATAGCTATAGGTCAAATGACAAGTTCAAACATCATAGGAAAGCGACTTCAAATTTACTATCGATTAAATGAGTAAAAAGTAAAACAAATCATTAGGCCATGCACTAAAAATGCCTCTGATTCTCAAAAGCATATATTGCCTACTTTACCTGAAGATGTCGATATACTTTGTGACGAGCAGCCATGACCAAGCCATCTTCCGTCCATGCTGTTATCTCAAGTTCATCTTTGGGGAAACTATCCTTATCAATCACAAGGCTATGATATCTACCTGCAGTGAATGGGCTGAAGGCAGATATATAATGAAAAAAGTCATGGCTCTTTCTAAGGATCTTTCCTGATCATAAAAAGTTAAAAAATTCCCAAATTTCACATACCATTTCTTTACAGTGCCAAAATGAAGAGATAATAAACCATGAAAAGAGTCAGTCTGTCACAAATTAGTAGCTAAATTAATTTCGAAAGGAAGAATTGTTGTGAGGCTTATGTGAGTGGTCTGGAGATAAGTCACAGACAGCAAATGTTTTTGAAATTCTGCCAGCTTCCCTTAAAGCTACGCTTAGTGCAGTACCAAAAACTAGTTTCAAGGATAAGGATAGAAATTCTTATAACAAATATGAAGCATTATTTTATTTGAATCTTTCATTTTTACTGCAACACTCACAACACAAGTAAAAAACTAAATAATATGAATTTGGTACTGACAAAAGATGTTATCAATAAAACAGGCAATTGGGAAAAGCTAATATAGCAATAGTGCAAAACTTAATGCTCATATTTCTGACTAGCATGACATCCACTTTTTCCTGTTTGTATTTTGAGGTCCATAGAACAAGTTACTATAAAACAAGTCAGCTTAACCTATAAACATACATATTGATAAACGTATTGGAGGATTACACATCCAGTAGAGTGAATATGGGTCATATACTCACTATAACATAAAATGCCAACAAAAATCTATTCAATACCTACCACTAATATGCACATAATTGATAAAATCGCTAAGAGCTTACTTTGGCAGACCAGTGAATAAGCCATCTTCTCCACCCTCATTGTAATACACAAGAGAACTTTTCCCATGCATCACGCCATATGGAGAACGCACTACTTTTCCTGTAAAAAAAGGAAAATTGTTTTAATAACTACAGCTTTCACCTAAGAATTACGAATGTTAACTATGATGGTAGAGATGTAGAATGACAGAGAGATGGTATAGATGAGCACCCCTTGGCTTTGTATGTGGAGTTCTCGCAGACATCACTAGAAATTTCAGGCAAGATAGAATATATAGCACTTCACAAGCTTTAGTCCAAGTCATTTCACAATCAACTACTTATATTCAATATAAATCATTTACAAACCATTTCGTGATGATTTTATCTGGGCAAGCTTTGTCCCTATATTCTCTCATGGCTACATGTGGTCTATCTTTCTTTTGCCAAATTTTAAATTATGTTCTATAAGCAATAATTTCAATTAATAAATGCATCAATTCTCCTAGTTCCCACTGTTGAAAATTCTCCTATTTGTTGTTAGGGTTCAAAACAAAGAAACAAACACAGATACCTGGGCAAAAAGCCCCTCTTTCTTGAAGTATTCCCTTCATTCTCTGAATATATTTCTCTAGTTACTACGTACAAAGACCACAAGAGAATTAGAGAATGAATCACTATTGTCTTTGATGGCTGGGATCATACCTTTTGTCCCTTTAACCCCACATCTGGAGATTGTAAAATTGCACATATAAAGCATCATATTCATTTTTAAAAAATGTGGAAGAGTTCTAAATGTGTGATTTATGATTAAAATTGGTTGTAAATTTTCATTACCATAACACTAAAATAAATGTTTGATTACATAAAGATTTTAGCCAAGCTGGGTAAGACGTAAGAAAACTACTCACCTCCAAAAGCCTCACCAATGCACTGCAGCCCCATACAAACACCAAATAATGGAACAATAGGACCCAGTTCCAGTACAGTTTGTAATGATATCCCTGAATCTTGAGGAGCTCCTATAATCATTAAAAATTGAAAAAGAAAATATTAAGTACTGCTGGAAAGAAAATTAACATGCAAAACAAAGAACTGCTGCACATTCTCCTAAACATTCTTACCTGGGCCTGGTGATATGAGAATTCCCCTTGGATTTTTCCTGATAACAAATTGAAACAAAATTACAGGGAGCACATTCAACCAATTGAAGGAACACATTCAACTAACTCTTTAGCTTTAGGGAAATTTGAAAAATCAAGTAAACATAAAAGATCACCATTGGTTGAATATGTTCCACATAATTTTGTTTCAATTTTCCATTCATTCAAATTGAGAAATGTTTAATTCCGCATACTTTTGGACTATATTACTCTTACCCCTCAATTTTGAACATAAACAGAAACCAGAAGAAGTGAAATTTCATCACTTTACCTCATCATAATTAAAGAAAGAAAAACAATCTATGAATAATAGGTCATAAGAATTTCTAAATTAAAATGTCATCCATAGCATCAAAATCCAACATTTCCAAGCGTAAAAACTACTAGAAGAGTTTTCCTTACTTCTTCAGTTCATCCACAGTGAGATCATCATTCCGATAAACCTCGAAATCGCATCCCAGCTCTCCCATATACTTCAAATCACAAATAAAGCAACATCAATTAAAGAATGAATACAATCAATCATAAAGCCAAAAAAAAATTAAAAAATTAAAAAATTAAAAAATTAAAAAACTTTTGAAAGTGACCGACCTGGCATAAGTTGTAAGTGAAACTATCATAATTGTCAATAACCACGATAGGGTTCTTCCGTTGCTTCGCCTTTTCAGATGAAGCCTCAACGGAGAACGCGGAAGAGTTCTTCGACACGGCCGGGGGCGCTCCGGTAACATTCCTCCTGATCGCAATTCGAGAAACGGGCGGCTTGAGGCTAGGAAATGCAAGGGGTTTGGGCGGCTGTGGAGCAGAAAGAGAAATCCTGGTTTTGAGGTGTACTAGGGAGGATTGGGCGGAGGACGGCAGGGCAACGGCGGCCATGGCGGAGCAATGATACGACGTCGTTGACTCTATACTTCGATCAAAGTGAACCGTTTGAAGTTTGCAGACAGTTAGGAGTGAGGCTTTTAAAGCGGGGGGGCCGCGGGGTGGGGCCGTGGGGGTATAAATCCTATTTAAATATAGTAATAATCTTTAAGATTATTACTTTACTCCGATTTTATAAGAATGTTGCTATTTGCACCACCATTTGATCAAAAAGTAGATATAAAGTATCATGAGATTGTAAAAATGTAAAAAATTTTAATAATTACATAAGTGGTGTAAATAGCTAAAGAGGTGTTCAATTTGTTATTTGTATCACCTTAATCTACGAGGTGTAATTAATAATTTTATAATTCAAAATTTAATTAATTAAAACATTAAAAAGAGAAAAGAAATATTAATTAACGTATAAATATATTTTTGTGCTACTCTAAACAAGGTCTACAGAGATATTGATATTTTTCTGAATTTATTAATTCAACAAATTACACGCAACTATTAAAAGTTACTTCGTATTAATTAACGTATAAATATATTTTTGTGCTTTTTTCAATTTAATTTATTAAAAAAATGACATAATAAATATGTAAATTTATATATTCATCAAATTCAAAAATTAGATGCAAAGAAGTTATTATTTCATGTATAAATAAATTTTGAAATCTATTTAATATAGCAACCAATTCAATGTTATAAAAGAAAATATATTTCAGGATGAATTTTCATGATTCATGTTTGATTTTATCGTTCTTTAAAAACATTATCAACAATAAGTTAAATTTTATGTCATGCATTGCACGGGGATAAATATATTAAAAAGACACACTAGCTAACAACATCATGAGAGTCATAAAATTATATTTTAATATGAATGTATATATTGGACCCGATTGAATAGTTTTAGGTCGAAGAAACTCAAATCTATGGCAATGATATGCCGACCCCAGGGTCGGCCTAGGAGCGTTGGGTTACGGTTCAAGTCAACATATGAGGTCGGAGAAACGTGGTCAATTAATATCCGTTACAACTGTTACGACCGTTACGAGTTCTCACTCTATTTGGGAAACATCTAAGTCATTATGTGCGGTATTGAAGTATATAGCCATTAAAACTTCTCCTTAATTATATAAATAGGCATCCTTATTACTTATTAGAATGCCATTTAATTTTGTATTGTTCACATGCTATTATGTATTGATGACTAAAAATGAGTTGAACCTAATTACTTAAAAAAAAATGAGTCGAACCTAATTACATTAAAAAATATTATAAATAACATTTTTTATACAAAGAAAATGAGAATGATCCATCAAACTATATAAAGTTTAATTTTGTTGTATAGAGTGTCTTCCATTGTTTCATCGTATGCTGCAAAAGTTTTACTTTTTCAAGGGGCCATAGAAAGAGAAAATGGGAAAGAGGAGAAAAAAGAAAAGAAAAAACTGAAAAGTAAAATAAATAATAAATATTAATGTTATTTAATGAGGTGGTGCAAATAGAATTTTCTTTTTATAATCTAAACTCAATCTCTTAAATAAGAGAATGTCCTATTTGGTTCACTGAAAAATATTTGAAGTAAATGAAATTGAAATTTTATGGAAAATAAATTTCAGGAAAATGGATTTCATTATTTGATGGGTGAAAAAGAAATTATTGGGAATATAAATTGTATTGTTTGGTTGAATTTGAAATTGTAAGGAATAATGAGTATAAAGACAATTATACCCCTACATAATAATAACAACAACAATAATAATGATGATTTAAAAAGTTAGTGAGAGCATAATTGTCCTCCTTGTTTTTCATAGAAAATATTTTTCATGAAAGACAAAATACTAAGGGGGAAGGACGGGGGCAAAGAAAATATTTTTCATTGAACCAAACAAAGAAAAATATTTTTCTCAAATTCAAGAAAAAATAAAATATTTTTCATCCAATCAAACACCTCATCAAATCTCTCCCCATTAAATCACAAGGTTGATGTTGAGGATAATATTTTGGACAATACAAATTGTTAATACTTTTTATATTAATTGAGGAACATGATTCTTGCATATGAAGATTAAGAATTAGATTTTTTGTCAAATACATTTAATATGTGATTTGAAGAATTGAAGGTTATTACACAAATAATGTTTACCTAGTACAGTTTTTTTTTTAAACCACCTAGTACAGATTTTGTGGTTAAAAAAAAAATAATCATTCTTCCAAAAGGTTGAACCCCAACCCTAAGAAAAAAAAAAAGAAAGAATAATCATAAATCTATTGTATTTACTCCAAGTTAATTAGATGAAGTTTACGAAATAAGTAATATATTAAAGAGTTAATTTATTTTTGGTCCAAAATTTATTGTTGATATTCCACATTTAGTCCCTTTTTTTTTTCTTCAAATTATCATTCTTTGATCCTAGTATTATTGTGACATAACTATTTTTGGTTAAACACTTAAATTCAAATTACACTTTATTCCCACATTATTACTCTCTCATGGATTGATATTTGTTTCCCTCATAATTCTCTCCCTCCAATCATACGTTCCATTAGATTACATTCCAGTTCATGAGTTACAAGGTAAGTCTAATTTTGGTTCCTAATTAGTAATTAGGCTATGTTTGACATGTCGAAAAATTAATTAATTAATAGCTAATAAGCTAACTAATTGAAATTAAAGTGTTTGATAACATTCGTTCCAAAAGGTTGAACCTCAACCCTAAGGGCCCGACAGAGGGGATGATGTAAATCATGGTAACTCAACTGAACATGAACCACAGATGCTAGACCTTTGCTTACTGCGCACAAAGAGCCCCCACTCGATCCCTAGTCATTCTTTCCAAACTCCACCTCTATGACCAGTTGAGTTGTCCATGCGAGCAAGATGATATAATTAATTGATAAAATTACACCATATACCATTCATTAATCAAAATCATAATATTTTAGTGTTTGATAAAAAATTAAAATCCACCTCTAATGATTTCTTTACTTTTTGTACTCTAAAAAAATTAAATCATTTATTATCTACATTAATTTATTTAATTTTAAGTCATTGTTGAGAATTACTTTAACCAACCATTTGATTGATTTTGGCATTATTTGTATGGAAAAAAAATAATATTATTATACATCTTTTTCAGTAAGAAAATAAATTATAAGCAAGTTATATTGCATACATTATATTATTTTTGAACTCTATATTCATAATTATGAATAGTTTTAGAATTGGTCTCAATATTTCACTTCTTACACATTATGTATTTTGGAATGTTTAACAAATCGATCTCTATCTATATCATTTGCTGTGTTGACAGGTTGTAAATGTTACTTAAGTTGTGTATATAAATTTTATTGTTCTTTTCCATTGATATATATTTTTGGATGTAGACAATGTTATTTATCGCACTATATCTCAAAAACTTGTGGACTCATCTTCTAAGTACGTATAAAAGATGGTTTAGCAAAGAAAGTTACGCAATGGATAGTTGTTGAAGACAAAAAAATCCCGAATTGTAGCGAAAGAGAGAAGAGGATGAAAGACGATCTCGGGTATCGACTGAATGAAGAATGCCAAACGTTTTTAGTGCTTTTTATATGTAGTGTTAGAGTTATGTTGTGGGTTGGACTTGATTTATTGAAGTAATTGGACTTAAACAAAAAAGATTTAATTTTAGCCCCAAAAAATCTCTTTAAGTAGTACGCAATTAAATTTCAAATTGGGTTAGATTGTATATTGTAAACGGGCCTATACTATTTTTGGGCCAATTAAATATTTATTTTTTTTATTAAAAATATATGTACGTATAGAATTATAATTGTATTTTTAAAATTTTTGGATCCTCTTTATTATTATTTATAAATTAAGGTGACCATCGTGGTGAATAATAGACATTAATATTTGAATAATGATAAATTGAGAGAACTGCTTTCAGGTTGTGGTTGAAAAAACTTAATTTTATTTATATTGAGAAATTAAAATTAAAATAGTTTCGAATATATTGAAATCATTATATTAATTTATATAATTAAATTTAACTACGATTAACTTTTAAATAAAAGGGTAAACAAATATTTTTGAACTTACATTTCTTACTGGCCGTAAAGGAAAATATTAATTTTTTTTGTTGCGAAATATATATATATATATATATATATATATATATATATATATATATATATATATATATATATATATGACGGTGAAATTATCAATATTTTTAAAAATAAAAGAGTTAACAGTTCTTTCTCTTATGAAAAAAAGAAAAGAAAAAATCTTTGTTTAAATATAACAGTTTTTAAATGATCTATTTTTTTCAAATAAAAGGTTATTATTTTATTTTTGTTTAACAGATTTCTTATGAAAATTAAAAAGAAAATTAAAAAGTCAGTTACAAACGTTGATATGTTATCGGAGGTTCACACTACAGAGTTCGTTAACAGTTTGAGATGCTCCGGTGTTCCAAACCATTCTTTAATATTAAAGGTTGGATCGCCAATTATGCTGCTCATAAATATAGACCACTCATTGGGATTGTGCAATGGTACAATGTTGATCATTACACAATTAGGAAACCATGTAATTGAAGCTCAAATTTTGTGTGGATACAATGTAGGCACCAGGGTACTAATACCACGATTGGGATTGACCCCTTCTGACCCAACACTACCGTTTACATTTCAGAGGAAGCAATTTCTAATAATGTTGTCATATGTTATGACAATAAACAAGAGTCAAGGACAAACTTTATCTCATGTGGGACTACTATTAAAGAAACCGATGTTTAACCATGGACAGTTGTATGTAGCAGCATCTCGGGTTAGTAATCCAAATCGGCTAAAAATCTTAATATGTGGAGACTCTACTGTTGGTTTGAACACTACAGAAAATGTAGTGTACAAAGAAATTTTCAATAATTTGTAATTTTTTTTGGGATTTTCAATGTCATATCATAATGTTATTATTGTTTTGTATATATGTAACAGTTTTTTTTTTTTTTTTAAAAATTTAGAAACGCTTCCAATTTCAAAAAATTGTGTAATGATGCAACTATAATAACAAAAATAATTACTATCAATTTCTTAACATAAATTCAATATTTAGAATTTTATGCCCGTGCATCGCACGGGTGAAATACTAGTTCTTCCAAAAGGTTGAACCCCAACCCTAAGAAAAAAAAAAGAAAGAATAATCATAAATCTATTGTATTTAATCCAAGTTAATTAGATGAAGTTTACAAAATAAGTAATATATTAAAGAGTTAATTTATTTTTGGTCCAAAATTTATTGTTGATATTCCACATTTAGTCCCTTATTTTTTCTTCAAATTATCATTCTTTGATCCTAGTATTATTATGACATAACTATTTTTGGTCAAACACTTAAATTCAAATTGTAATTTATTCCCACATTATTACTCTCTCATGGATTGAAATTTGTTTCCCTCGTAATTCTCTCCCTCCAATCCCATTAGAGTACATTCCAGTTCATGAGTTACAAGGTAAGTCTAATTTTGGTTCCTAATTAGTAATTAGGCTATGTTTGACATGTCGAAAAATTAATTAATTAATAGCTAATAAGCTAACTAATTGAAATTAAAGTGTTTGATAACATTCTTTCCAAAAGGTTGAACCCCAACCCTAAGGGCCCGACAGAGGGGATGATGTAAATCATGGTAACTCAACTGAACATGAACCACAGATGCTAGACATTTGCTTACTGCGCACAAGGAGCCCCCACTCGATCCCTGGTCATTCTTTCCAAACTCCACCTCTATGACCAGTTGAGTTGCTCATGCGGGCAAGATGATATAATTAATTGATAAAATTACACCATATACCATTCATTAATCAAAATCATAATATTTTAGTGTTTGATAAAATTAATTGTTGAATTAGCTGATAAGTGTAAGAAGATATAAAAGAATAAACTAAGAATTAGCTGATAAGGTCCTTCGTCTCACGCCACACCCTTCCCCCCTCCTTCGTCTCCGACGGAAGGGAAAGGGTGGGCGACGAGCCGGTGGCCCTGTCTTTTTTATTTTATTTATTTTTTAAATTTTTTAATTTTAATTTTAATTTTAAAATTTATTATTAAAAATTATTTAAAATGCCAACTCACCTTCAATGTAAGCAGACAACTTGGTGAAATTGATGGTAACCCTGTTATCTTGTGAAATTACATACATTTGGAGTGTTAAGTGGCATAATTACATTTTTTTTGTTCGACCTAATTGCATTTTAAAGTTACGTTCAGTGGTCAATTTGAACCTTATTCTGTTTCAAAATAATTTATTTTAAATTTTCTATATTTTACATACTAAAAAAAAGCATTCAAAACATACTAAAAAAAATATGTATAGTTTAAAATAAATTAAGCTCTACCAAACAGGATTTTAATATGAAATAAACAGAAAAACCAGAACAAAGTGAAATGCTGAATATAATGCTGGACTAGATTGCTCTTACCCCTCAATATACTTGGAACATAAACAGAAACCAGAAAAAGTGAAACTTCATCACTTCATCTCATCATAATTTTTTAGTTTTTTTTTTACAACTTTCCCTTTCTCAAAATAGTTAGGAAAAATAAACTCATCATAAAATATTGTATTCCTATTCCCAACCAAAGTAGGACATGTATCATATCCCACAGTATAAATCAATCCCCATCTATCGTTGTATAGTACCTGCAGATAGAGAAGAGATTTCCAGAATTCCAGAAAGATAAATTTTGTTTTGCGGCTATGGACGACTCAATTTTAAACGTCGACTGCTGGATCCGTCATGAACCCGAAATCTTACGCACCGCCGCCTATGTTCTTCCTCCGCAAGACGTTTTTGTGTTCCAGATGAAGGTGAAAGACATGGTTGGATTGTTCCAGTTTCACCCAGAAGCCCAGTCCCCATCGCAGCGCTATATTCTGGATTATTGGGAGCATCACTTCCCCCATCTTTCCATGGATTTCGTCATCCCCTTCCCAAACATAGCCGGAAGCGGCGGCAGGAACCGCGCCCGGCACAAAATACACGAAATGCTCGGAGCAGTCGGCATTCCCAGGCAGAAACGCCGGCCGCTGCTGGGGAAGATATACTCCGAGGCGATGAGATTGGCTAATAAGGCGCCCGACGGAGAATACAAACGGATCCCGATTATGGTGGTGCTGCGGAGAGCGTACGCTAGAACTAGGGTTAGAAACGACGACGTTGAGAGTGAAGTAGTTCCGGCGAGCAGATCGGGGGAGATCGAGGGGTTGGAGAGGGTTATGGTTGAGGAAACGGAGGCTTGTGCGGTGTGCTTGGAGGAGATGGAAGCGGGATCGGAGGGGAGTATGTTGCCTTGCAGACATATCTTCCATGGAAGATGCATCGATGCCTGGTTTGCGAAGGCCATTTCGTGCCCGTTATGCCGTTTTCAGCTTTCTTGCCGCGCTTTGACTTCGCCACAAATATTTGAAGATGGATGGAATTAAAATTACTATTGAAAAAAACATTACTATAAAGATTGCTTTCATTATTTCATTTTCTTAGAAAATATTTTTTCATTGAACCTAACATGCTCGTTAGAACATGCTCGTTAGTGTCTATCATTTGCAACTAAAACCTTAAGTTTTGATAGATTACAAATTTGTATTTTTATTTTTTTAATGTACCATAATAAAATTTAAAAAAAAAATATTTTTATTTAATCTGTAATACAATCATAATAATCTGGAGGGTGTGATTGAGTGAAAAAAGACTCATCCATCCTTAACCAAAGGTCAAGGATTCACAATTCAACCATGATATTAGTCACTGTGCCCAACGGTGGAAACCCTAGATATACAAAAAAAAAAAAAAAAAAAAAGTAATACAATCATAATTTTTTCTCTAGTGACTACATACTATTAAGATGTCGCGTAAGTTACTTGACAATACTAAACGAGTTAATTATTGAAATGGTTCCTTGATTATGCAAAATTATCAATTTGATCTCAAATTAACATATGTAGGGATGTTAACAGGACGGGGCGGAGACGGAGAGTATACTCTCCATCCCCATCTCCGATGAGGAATCAAAAAATAGTCCCCCGTCCCCAATCAACTTTTAATCAAAATTTTGAAAATGTAAAACTTAAATTTTAATTTAAAAAATTAATATATATATATATATATATATATATATATATATATATATATATATATATATATATATGTGTGTGTGTGTGTGTGTGTGTGTGTGTGTGTGTGTGTGTGTGTGTGTGTGTGTGTGTGTGTGTGTGTGTGTGTGTTAATTATAATAATTTTTCGGGGGCGGGGTGGGGATAGGTATCCCCGTCCCCGTTTTTCAAAATATGTATGTATGTATATTTTAATTATAATAATTTTTCGGGGCGGGGCGGGGCGAGGGTGGGGGTGGGTATCCCCGTCCCCGTTTTTCAAAAAATTTTTCAGTCCCCGTCCGGGATCCCGTTGGGGACGAGAAAAATTGCCATCCCTAAATATATGTCTAACCGCAAAAAAAAAAAAAAAAAAAAAAAAAAAAAAAAAAACCGGATGTTCAAACTAATTAAGATTTTTAAAGTTGAGGAACCTAATTGGTCAAAAAAAATAATCAAGAACAAAATTAATAATTTCACTATAGTTAATGGACAATTTCGGTAATTAACTCATACTAAAATAATATTATTTTATATAATGTACATTCAATACACAAATAATTTACTTTTAGTATATTAAATTTTTTCTTTACAATTTTTTATTTTATTTTTGAGTACTACTAAATAGCTTGAACCCACAACTTCTCATATGGAAGAGCAACTTGGTAACTACAAGGTTTGGCACAAAAAATATAGGGAAAAGGGTCAAATACACCCATGAACTTTAGGTTAGAAGTCAATTAAGCCCCTCAACTTTAATAAGTTACAATTAAGTCAATCAACTTGTTATTTTTGTGCAAATAGACTCACCAACAGGTTAATTACCTGTAATAGCAGGTAAGTTATTGTTGATGTGGCATTTTTCAATTAAAAATAATAAATAATTAATATAATTTTTTTTAAATAAAAATATAAAACGATTGCATCCATGGCCAACGACCATGGTTGCCATCTTATGTACTTTTAAAATTTTTTTTTTTGAAAAAATAAAAGTAAGTTCCACTTTCTTCGTCTCTGCCGGAGACGAAAGAAGAGGCAAGAAGAGGATGGTAGTCATGGGCGGCCGTCGACCATGGCCGCCATCCTCTGTATTTTTTTTAAAAAAAAGTTCCCCCAAGCAAGAAGAAGATAATAGCTCTGGTCAGCCATGGCTGCTATCTTCTCTTAAAAAAAAAAAAATTAATTCCCCCTAGGAGGCAAGAAGAAGATGGCAACCATGATCTCTTCTTGCCTCCTAGGGGGAATTAAATTTTTTTTTTTCTTTTTTTTAAAGAGAAGATGGCAGCCATAGTAGACGGCTGGCCATGGCTGCCATCCACTTCTTGCCTCCTTTTTCGTCTCCGCTGGAGATGAAGAAGGGGGAACTATTTTTTTTTTTTTTAAACTAGTATTTGCGCCCGTGCGATGCACGGAATAGATTTGTTGTAATATATTAAGAATATTTGGATCGATATATAATTATTTAAATTAGAACATCAAATATTATATAGTTCAATTGAATATACGGGTTGGATCATTTATGTGTTTTTATATTATCATTGTATGAATTTAAGCAAATAATTGCTCAAATTAATAGCTAATGTGTAGATGTATGCATGTAGTGTTATAACTTTGGAGATTTTTTTGCATCATTGTTTAGTATTTTTTTTTTTATAAATTATACGGATGTGTTTGTTTTCTAGCAACTCAGTTATATGAATGAATTGTTATCTTAATTCATTTGTATGGAGGATTTTTTTTTTTGTCTATACATATAGCAATTTTGTCATTTAAAAAATATAATATCAACGATTTTATTTACACATTGTTGAAACCTCTTTGTAGACGACATTGGTAGTAGCAACACAATCTTGTCCATCATCGTCTAGAGCTAACACCTTCAATTGATCAGGATGGGTGACTCGGTAAAAATATATAATGGTATAATATTAGTCAATTAGCGATCCTTTTATATTTTAAATAAATTAGTAATATCATATTCATTTTCAGTCAATTATTCTTTTGTATTTTTAGTCCATTAGAATATTACATGGAGTGATATTTTTACCTAATTTGTGTTCCATTTTTAATTGAGAATGTATAATATTATTATTGAAATATTTCTGTTCCATTTGTAATTTACCTTTATTATTGTTTAAAATATGTATTTTTTATTTATGATGTAGAATATTATTATTGAAATATTGGCGTTCAATTTTAGTTTTCCTTCCATTTTAATTAAAATGCAATGGTCTAACCATTTATTTTTTTCATATTAGTCAATTATGAATAATTTTTTATTTGCAGTCAATTATTAATATTCATTTCCTTTTAAATTTTCAATCCATTAGTAATATCATATTTATTTTCATCCAATTACTTCTCTTTTATTTTTAGTCAATTAATCAATTAGCGAACTAAAATATCAAATGCAATGATATTTTTATCAAATTTTCGTTTCATTTTTAATTGATGATTTAGAATATTATTATTGAAATATTTTCATTTCATTTTTAATTTTCGCTACATTTTTAATTTACCTTTACTATTGTTTTAAATATGTCTTTAGTATTGATGATGTAGAATATTATTATTGAAGTATTTCCTTTTTATTTTTAATTTACCTTTACTTGATAGTGTAGAATATTATTATTGAAATATTTTCATTCTATTGTTTAAAATTATGTAAAATTTATGACATATTTATGATTTGATGTATTATACTGTGTAATATTATTGTGAAAAATTAAAATATAATGATCTGCCCATTTTTTTTTCTATTTTAGTCAATTATGAATCTTTTCTTATTTTCAAACAATTGTTAATATTCATTTCCTTTTTCAATTAATCTAATGTTTGTTGCCAAGTAGCTTGTGCTTAGATGGCATGTAGTGACCTCTTTTATGTGGGAAGTCATGAGATCGAGCCTTACTAAAATAATATTATTTTATATAATGTACATTCAATACACAAATAATTTACTTTTAGTATATTAAATTTTTTCTTTACAATTTTTTATTTTATTTTTGAGTACTACTAAATAGCTTGAACCCACAACTTCTCATATGGAAGAGCAACTTGGTAACTACAAGGTTTGGCACAAAAAATATATGCTTTATAGTCCACATAAAAATTTGTCCTATAAACATAAATTGGGCCTGCAAACCTTAACCAATAATTGGGCCTGTAAACCTTAACCAATTATTGGGCCTGAAGTCCAGTAATAGTGAGAGGCCTATAACGTTAGCGACATAAATAAAACAGCAGTGATTCAGAGAATCTAGGCCTCAACCTTGGGACAACAATGGACGACACCGGAGGAGCATACTATACCCCTCTCGCCCAATACTCTTATTACCAGCAACCTCCGCCACCGCCGGGGACGGCGCATCAGCCCCCGCCGCCGCCGCCTGCTCAGTTGCCTCACCACCACCAATACCATCCTTATCAACCGCCGGTGCCCTCCTACGCCGCTCCACTCTATACTCCTCCGCATTCCCACGATGAAGTCCGAACTCTCTTCATCGCCGGCCTCCCCGAGGACGTCAAGCCGCGAGAAATTTACAATCTCTTTCGCGAGTTCCCGGGTTATGAATCTTCTCATCTCCGAAGCCCTAGCTCGAATACGCAGGTATCCCCTACGCTCTATATTCCAACGCTAAAATCATAAAATTTTCAGATGCGCCTCCGTTGCTTTAAGAGTTGCGATCGCTGATCGTTATTGTATAGTGGATCAGGCAAGTCCAATTGAAAATCTTTGCTATTGAACAAATGAATTCCGGGGTTTTTTCGTTAATGAGCTAGGCAAGATTTGATTTTGATTTTTTTTTTCTGCTTGAACGCGTTAGATTTGGGATTGGAACTAAGATTTCATAGAATTTTTAGTTGTTTTATTAAGACAATTTAGCACGAAAAACAAAATTTATTGATCATAGGTGAAGCTTAATGGTGGTCTTATGAAAGGAGGGGGCGGGGCTAACAGTTGATGCTAATTGAAATTCTTAGATGTGGGAATGAAAGCTTTATGCTTATAAACCTTTGATATTCTGCCATTCTGGTATCAGTTATACTGTTTCTATTACATTCTAATAGAAGAGAAGCTGGACTGGAATTACATGATACATTTACTTATAGTTCCCAGAGAATATACTGTTATTTGGCCAGCTATACTAATGTAAGAGAGAGTCTCTGATAGAGGAATGCGTGTTCCAAAAGAACCTCGGTATTCTGCTTATGAGAAACTAGTTAACCACTATTTAAGAGTTTCAAGAATATATAGCCTCTTTACATCGTGATAAATTATATTCTGCTCTTCTCATTTCAACCATACATATGTTATAGTCTTATAGATGCAAGTATATAACAGGGGTGTGTGGTTAGCATAAGTATTCGTGGTTTGATTCTGTAAAATCTTTGTCCGTGTAGTTGCTTCTGATATTCAGTAGACGTTTGTCTCTTACATTGTTTTGATGATGAGCTAAATTCTGACATGGTATTGTGTGCTGCCAGCCATTTGCGTTTGCAGTCTTTGTGGATCAGCAGTCAGCAGTTGCAGCCATGTATGAACTGAATGTAAGTATCCTTTGCTGTGTGTATGTCCAATTCTGAAGTCATTTAAGTAATGAAGCATATGTGAACTTCATAGGCTTGGATAAACTTCCAAGTCATTTTTGGATATATTAGAGTTTGAGATAAACAAGACATTCATTACGAATTGGTTACAGGGAATTGTATTTGACCTTGAGAAAGGCTCGACTTTGTTCATTGATCTTGCAAAATCCAATTCCAGGTCAAAGCGCCAAAGAACTGGTCTGTTTGGGGTTTGATTTTTATTTTTATTTTTGCAGCTGACTTAATCTTTCCTTTTTACTTTTCACTATAATTTTTAAATAAAGAATCACTTGATGTGATTACTTCTTAATCAGCAGATGATGATAGGCATGGATCAGAGAAAAGAATGAAAGGACCTGCGGTCATTTCGAGGGTCATTGAATCTGGTATCATGCCTGCCTTTGTTTTTTTCACCCCCTTTCAATGATAATGAATATAAATACACAAATATATGTGTGTATACACAAGTTGGCTATCTATGAAATCAAATCACACTATTTCAGTTATTTGGTTATGTGATGCTTTTTTCCCTCTAGTCACACGGAACTGATTTGATCTCGTGGTAGGAAATGATAGCTAGTTAGTCACTGCAGAACACATTATCTAAAGGCTCACGTTACACATCTTTTGCACGCTTGGCACTAGCAGGTGTTGGCAACATTCACATTCCTGGAATGGGTAGTTCCGCTTACAACACAGTTGGTTATCCACCTACACAAAGGTCATCTGCACTACTTAAGCACATCCTTTATTACCTGGAAGTGATTTGCTTCTCACTGGATAATGCAACTGAATTTAATTCACTTCTAGCTGAAAGGTTAAGGGCATAGTATAAGTTGTTACTGTGTCCCCTGTTGCCTGAAGTTAGAACGTTGGAATATCTTACTACTTTACTAGCGATTGGTATGTCATCGTTCTAATTTTCACATGCTTGTGCAATGCTTCAGTTATGCAAATTTTGATGGTAGAGCTATGAACGAGGGCAATGCAAACAAGGTGAGGTCTCCTTTCCATTGTATTCATAATCGATATCTTCAAAACTGTGCTACCACATCTCTCAATATTTTCCATATGATTTTTTTTCCCTTTTTTCCTCGGGTGTTTAAATTGTGCTATTTTACCTTAAGATCTCTGTTACTATTTTCATCACTCTATGGGAAGTAATTTATGTTTCAAGTTGAGTTGAGCAAACACATGCTTAGCAGAGAATATAATCTTCTAGAAACAAGTAACCGAAGATTCATATCCCCTGACAAATTACACTTTAGTTTCAGAATCTAGAAAATTTGTTCATTTCATTCAGAATCTGAAGTTGGCAAACCATACCTCTTTCGTTTCAAGCTTGCAGTATGGCAACTTTACGTTTTCTGAATGATCATTGGTGTTGCATTTGTAGTCCTTTTTATTCTCAATTTAACTTTTGTTAATGCACATTTGAACTACGTAATGTCTATTTCAATAGCTACTTTTCATGACCTTGTGTTGAACAGAGTGCTGCTCCTCCATGTCCGACACTCTTTGTGGCTAATCTGGGGCCAAATTGTTCGGAACAAGAACTCACCCAAGTGTTCTCAAGGTTTCAAGGAATCCCTTGTGCAATTTCATAATGTTTTAACCAATTTATCTTCCTTTGACATTGGAAGAAATTTTTACTGTGTTTCCATTGATTAGATGCCGTGGATTTTTAAAGTTGAAGATGCAGAGCACCTATGGAGCTCCTGTTGCTTTTGTTGACTTTAAGGTACATTTCCAAGTTCCAACATCGTTACTTATACAAGAGTTCCTATTCTTTCTATGTTTCCTATGTTGCTAGGTAGTTATTCTTTTAACTGTTGATGTCCCACCTAGGGATGGCGGTGGGTTGGGTACCCAACCATTCAAGGCTACTCGAACCCGATTACTTATATCACCCAAAACCCAATTAAACATTACCCCTATCCACCCAACCCCATTTATCACTACCCGCCAGGTACCTAAACCCGTCTCAAAATCCATTTAAAAATCTTTTATCATAAATAAACAAAAACATTTCAAATTTATGGAATAATTATTTTATATTTATAACTTTTTCATTGCTAATCCATTTATCCACTATTATACATAACTGAATATTACAAAACCAATTTTTTATGTTAATTTGTCACAGTTATACACTACTATAATAATATCTATCTTATATATGTATGTGTAAAACATTATTATTATATAACATATAATGAAAGAATATATATGACACATAATATAATCTAATATTATATTATATATATGTATAATAGTACATATATAAGCAAGTTCGGATAATGTGCTACCCAAACTTAAATACAACTTGGGTAGTATATAACTACATATACAACCTGTACCCATTCCAAACCCTATATAATTGGGTAGGGTATCCGAATTTTAGCTACCCGTTGCCATCCCCAGCACAACACATACCCCGCTTCTTTTATACTCAAGTTTTCTCATAAATCATTTGCTTTGGATTCCCTATACTGCTAAACTTACAGGATACTGCTTGTTCAATGGAAGCTCTGAGTCATCTTCAGGGTACAATGCTTTACTCCTCACCTGGAGAGGGCATGCGACTGGAGTATCCTATGCTAGCATTCTAAGCTGATAATTGATTGACCTTCCCCCGTCCCCTCGGCCCCTCCCTTAAACCCCCTATTTCATCTTTCATGTTTTACGTTTCTTTCCTCGTTTTTCCTTGACACAAGTTGAGATATGCAAAATCACGGATGGGAATGCGGAGTAAGAAGTCCAGATAAAGCACGCCCAACCAAAGATTTGCATGATTTGCCACCGACATGCCCCGCAAATGAAGGTAAAGATTGGAGAGTTGAAAGGACGGAAGAGGAGTCGTTGGACGTGAAAATGACATGTTCTCTACTACAGGCATTATGTGTAGAAAAATGTGGGGGGTACGGTTTGGTGTTTGTTGTTAAATATATTTGTCTCACCAAGTAATAGCCTTATAGATTGAAGTAAATGTGAAATGGACAGAGTTGGTGCTGGAATAAATATTTTGAGATATTGAGTCTGCATTTTCTGCTGTTGCTGCCTTCTGTCTCATGCATTTACGTCCTTGTACCATGCCACGAGTGCATAACCAATCATTGATGTTACATATTTAGTGGGGATTACTTTTTACTTCTCACATGTAACATTCACAAGTGCGTTTTGATTGTTTTTCACTTAGGTTTTCTAATTTTGTCGGACCATATAAATTTTATGACTCTCCCTTCAAATTTACGAGGAAGTAAATCAAGTCTGTCTAGTTTCAAGTTCATACCAAACTATATCTCAATCATTATATCATTGTAAGATAAATCATTGACATAAGGTTTATTTTTGAAGGCAAAAGATTAATTCATTAAATCATCGGCAATACAATCAGCAAGAAGACTTGGAGGGGTATCAAAAAACTCTTCGCTTTGACACAGAAACAACTTCCCCTTCGCAATCTGACACAGAAACAACTTCCTTAGCAACAATGTGGGCAATTCACAGATTGCTTAACAAAATAGAATTTAACATTATCAACTGTGAAAAATATATATTTTTAAACATTGAATGCTCATTTTTTGTACTGAAGAAAATATTTATTTGTCGTCTGCAATGGTCTACAGTATAATTTGTCTGCATAGTTTCCACCAAATTGTTCCCTTCTGAGCTCAAGAAGCTCAACCTCAACTCTAACTTCATACCAACTTAGTGACTAGCTAGGTGGTAGAATGGTTGTGGATGTTAAAAACGAAAAAACTAATCAGTTTATTGCATGGTTTTACTTGAACCAAAAGAAAATTTTGGGTTGGTGATAGATAAAGATTAGTTTAGTTATATTATTTGGTGTTAAACAATGTCATTAGTACTCGCATGTAATTTGACTAGTGTGGGCTTAACAAGATTTTTGTTTGTTTTTTTTTTTTAAAAAAAAAAAACAAAAACTTATCTTGGGTCAAGAATTGAAATGATAATAACTTGATATACACAAGAAGAAGAAGCCTGGTCTGTTGTTGGGAAGCACAAGAAGCTAAAACATCAAGCCTTGGCCAGTTGGATTATCTAAAGTGTAAAAGTAAATATAGATGACAGTGCCAAAGAACAGTACATCAGAGTTGTAGATATGTTCATTCCACTTACCCTGCAAATAAATATTGATTTTTAATTAAAGACTAAGAAATTTTGTTGCTCTACTATCCAGCGAAGAATGATGAAGGAGAAAAAAGAAAAAATTATATGTAATAAAGCGTTCAATCACTATGATTTATTCATCCAAACATTTATAATACCATGCAATAAATTGTTCATTTTCTTATAAAGTTTCATATAAAATTTTTACCAGTATAGTTCTAATATGTTAAAATAGTTTGTTATCAATAATTATTTTACTTCTTCAATTAAGTAATTATGATTTTGTCAATGATCTTGTGGTCAAGTGGCATGAAGTGACTTTCTCAAATAGAAGGTCATGGGTTTAAATTCCAAATTTTTTTGGGCATTACGCTTAAAAAAACCTAAGTAATTAAGATAAACATAATATTCAACATTATTGTCATTTTCTCCTCTTTATCGCCTTTATCGTCAATGAATTGAAATATTAAATTCGTATTAAATACATCACCATCAAGTTTTTTTCCAAAAAAATTCATTGCCGACGAGAAAATGTTGTGTTTCTTGAGTGTTACGTTAAGCTACACACATATTGAGAAATAGTGGAGGATTTGTATGGATTATTGCACATGTTAATTAATCATGGTTATTATTATTAATTTTTGGTGTAAACACTAACGTGTTTCATGTCTTTCTCCGTCCGTTTTATTGTTGGGGTCCACCTAACTAACTCACGCTCGCTCCGAGAGGCACAAGAGCTGGTCTAGGGAAAATCATCACTTGGGAGAATTGAACTCGAGTTATTATCTCCAAATTCTTCCCACAGAGAGAATTCATTTGTCACTTGAGCTACCTCATTGGGTGATTAAACATGGTTACTGTCAATAAGTAATTATTACTGTTGGAATAATCCAGTTGGTCAGGCATCGACTTGGTAATCACAAAGTTCAAAATTTGGTGACTTCCTGTGAAAACTGCCTATTGACAACCGAGAATTTGAGCCAGTTAGCTAGACATGCTTCACTTAAAGCGCTCGTTTAGATAATAATTACAGTTTAAGGGTAAAATATATTGTGGACCATGGTCCACACTGCAACATGGACCATGATAAATGCTCATTTTTAATTTATGAAAAACTTATTTTAAGTAGTATATCTAAAAATGAAGTTTTATTACAATACAAATGAACTTTCAAAAAAAAAAAAACTTTTAATGTATTAAAAAATGAATTTTATATTTATGATTTACCTTATAATATGAACGATGATCCACGATATAATAATTGCAGTTTAAACAGTTAGTTAAGGGTATTGCTATTTGCACCACCCTTTGACCAAAAATGGTATAAAGTATCATTGAAAATGTAAAAAGTTGTAATTTATAATAAATATATAGGTGGTGCAAATAGCCTAATGGGTGGTCAAAATGCTATTTGCACCACCCCTATTAAAACTGCATTTATTAGGTCAAAATTAATTCAAAATTTAATTCTTAAAAAAAAAAAAGCAACATCGCCTTCTCCGGTGAGAAGGCAGTCCGTCGCCTTCTCACCGGAGAAGGTGACGGATCTCCCAATCGTTATGCTGTGCATCCATATGCACCATGCATGGTGCATACAGATGCCAAAACGACGTCGTTTTATTAAAAAACGCGCGTCTCCCATTTAAAAAAAGTTCAGGTTCGATTCACAGCAACAATATTATATTGTTCATTCATTCTGGAATTTTAGTTCATAGATTATGGAATTATAGTTCATTGATTATGGAATTATAGTTCATCGATTATGAAATTGTAGTTCATCGATTCTGAAATTTTAGTTTATAGATTATGGAATTTTAGTTCATTCATTCTAGAATTTTTAGTTCATAGATTAGATTATGGAATTATAGTTCATCGATTATGGAATTTTAGTTCATATGTTGTTACTGGGAATCGAACCTGATTTTTTTTTAAGGGGAGACGCACGTTTTATTAAAACGACGTCGTTTTTGCATCCGATGCATGGTGCATACGGATGCACAGCATAATTCTCCTCCTCCTTTTTTTTTTTTTTTTTTCAAATATGTTTATTGTTAAAAAAATAAAAATAATAAATATTACTTTGACCACATTTATTAATAGTGGTCAAATAACACTTTGGTATTTGCACCATCTATAAAATTATTTAACCTATTATATAGGAAGTGCAAATAGCAAAATAGGTGGTGTAAATAAAATTTTCCTTAGTTAAACGTGCTTTACTTAGAACATAACTTTAAATAGCGATGACATGATTTCCCGTTACTCAAAGTAATTATGACTGAGTCTTAAGATTAATAATGCTAACTACTATTGATTAATAGGATTCATTATTAACTTGCCTTTGTTTTCTTCACTCCTACATACTATACACTTCGATTTCCTAAAAGTTACTGTATTTATGTAGACTTATGATTCTTTTTTGCCGTTAAGTGGAAAGGTTTAAATTGCTTAACCATAAGCTAGCTAGGTAAACAAAAAAAAAAGTTATTTGCTTCACTTTTTTTTTTTTTTTTTTTTCAAGGCATTTTAGACATTTTGAGTTGAAAGTAAAATGCTTTTTTTTTTTTAAATTAAACACTAAAAATTAAAAATCAACTTGGTTGGTGTGAGTAGCCGTGCATTCTCATTCCTTAAGAGAAATTGAGAGTTCGAACCCATACTCGTATAGAAGAATCAATCTGGCTAGCACTTTGCCCCTTAATTAGGTTGGTCGGGTGCGCGAATGGAGATGAGATTAGTCCATGACCTGAAAAACTAAGGATAAAAGATGACTATTACACAATAACAATCCTTACACCAAGGTTCACAATGCACTATGTACTCTGGTTCATGTATTTTGTGTTGTGCCTTTTTGTATCTTGTTTTATAAAATTTTGTATCTTAATAGTGAATTCTGTACCGGGAACAAATTAGTAATAGTGACTTATGTTATGAATTTCTGTGTCTTGTGTTGTGAAATTTTGTGACTATGAACACAAATTATGTATCTAAATAAGATTTTAAAAATAAGTAAATATATAACATGTGCATGTGTCTTGTGTTATGAAATTTTGTACCTTATGAATATGAATTCTGTACCTCATCTTTTCAATCCAGTTAGGTCCATAATGCTATAATATGTGTCTTGTGTTGTGATTTTTGTGTTTTGTGTTATGAAATTCTGTACCTTACGAGTATAAGGTCTGTCTTGTTGTTTTAATACATGGTCTATATTGTTATGTGAACTTTCGTCCATAATATAAATGGAGACTATACTACGTACATGATTGAAAGATTAAAATTGCTATTTTCTAAGATTAAATAATACATATTATAAATTAATAAGATAAAGTTACATTTAAACAAACTTTAATATAAAAAAAATTATGAGATATAATATTAGCTGTCAGTTGCAATAAACTATTGAAGATGTGTCCATCTTACAATCTATATATATATAAAAGTAAAATCCTCCTATTTCATTTTCCCGTTCAAACTTTTGTAGTAAAACCTATTTGGTAAGCAAATATAAAATGGAAATTAATTAAAATCTATTAAATGATAATATTGCATAATTGGTAATATATATTATGCATGGTAAGTTTTTCTTTTGGACGTAAATACTCCGCCTGGTATATATATATATATATATATATATATATATATATATATATATATATATATATATATATATATATATATATATATATATATATATATATATATATATATATATATATATATCGCTGTCGAATTATTTAGTCACGAAGAAGAAGAATCAACATGGTTTCTATGTAAAAGCCTCACGAGGAAGCTGGCCTGGCTAGCAATCGAGGTCAATTTTGTAGGTAAAACCTCACTTGCATACACCATTATTAAGTGGAGAGTGATTATAGAGTATGATAATAATAATAATAATAATAATAATAATAATAATAATAATAATAATAATAATAATAATAATAATAATAATAATAATAATAATAATAATAATAATAATAATAATAATAATAATAATAATAATAATAATAATAATAATGT